TCAATTGCAAAGGTTCGTGCGGTATTGGCTCGAAGTGTTGTGTCGACCAGGATAAGAACTGCTCCGTGTCAACCTCATGCAACACTGCAGATTCGTGGAAGAAATGCGTGAAGACTTGTTCGCGCTGTGATTGTAAAGATAAAGCCAAAGACTGCGCTGCTTACAAAGCTCACTGTCGTGACTCGAAGTACTCTAAATTAATGAGGACTCGATGCGCACTCACGTGCAAATTCTGCTGAATTTAAATTGAAAATGATGCAGTAAAGAAGCTTCGGCTCGTGTTGTTAAATGAATGTCTTCTTATTTAAAGCACAAACCAACAACACTCCCTCCGTATAACAAACAGTTTTTCAATTCAGCACTTTTTCAGTTTAATATTTACAAATTTCCTCGAAGTTTGGAGAGCAGCGTCTTGGAACTAATAGCATGAACTGGAAAATTTAGGCACACTCTAAGTGAAATACACCGAATATTTGATTGGTGGACCCATTGCTAAAGCCCCGCTAGCCCTGGCTCCCTCAGCTCACCTCAGCCAACCTCGGCAGCTGCACGATTTGCGAATTTACCCGCAGACTGTGTATAGTAGAGAGCAATGAAAGGGACGGAGGTGGGATAGGGCAGGCAGGGAAGGGAGACACGGGGGAGAGGGAGGAAGGGCTGGAAGGAGTGCGGAGGGGGAGAGGTGAGGGCAGGAATGGATTGGGGGGAGGGGGGAGCTATTGTGCGAGGATAGTGACCGCAGGTTCGGAGGCACAGGAGAGGGGGTAGTTGGACGGGAACGTCAAGTGGACACGTAGGGGAGAGGGATGATGGGCGGAAGGAAGCAGAACCCGTGCTGTTGGTTTTGTCGCGGAAGCGCGGGGTAGGGAAAAGGCTTCAGAGGTATGTACACTGTGGAGGGCATAGAAGGGGGAGGGGGGAAATTGGGTTGGCAATGCATGAACAAACTTTCTGGACGTTGCGTTCGAGACGCGGGGGGATGAGAAGGGGAGCGGTGTGTGCGGGTTTCGCGCGCAGGGATT